CGGACAGATTGGCAACGGGTCGAGGACTGCGGCCTAACTGGTAAGGCAACAACGGCAGAGCCATGACGAGACTTGCATTAGAGCCACGGGAAATCGGAGGCCAGTAAGACCGTCGGACGACCTGTGGATGTCACCATAGAAGAAGGATGACTGGTGCTTTCTTTTGCCGGATTTCACCTGTCAGCATGGTCGTTTGTGAGATGATCTTCATCCTTTTCTTTCCCTTTTAACTTTTTTTTTTCCCTCTTTTAATACCCTCCACTCTCGGGAGCCCTACACGGAAGGCCGCACCTGTTGGAAACAAATAAATAAAAAGCATCAAATTGCCACCTTCCCTTGCGGTTCTGATCCTGATATTTCCCCAAGCTCCATAAGCTCAGTTCAATTATTGCTTCCTGTCACCATGTGGGTGTACTGTGCTCACCTAGCTAACGGTCCACTCCGGCCCGTTTGTCCTGGAGCTTCCCACGTTCGGCGGCGTTTAGTGCGCTTGTCGCCGTTTAGCTGCCGATTTGCTTTATTGCTTCAGAGATTTTTGCAGGAGTGAAGACAATAAAGGCCACACGGGCAGGCAGTTCTCGGTGATGGTTTCAGTTCTGTCCCTGGGCACGCATTGCTTCTTCTCGTCGTATGTTCGTCACACCGTTCCCAATGTCTTTCAGGCATCATTCCATGTCGTACCATGCCACTTCGGTAATCTTAAGTTTCTGAGTTGAAGCCATCGTGGAATTTCGAAATCCGTGATCGATTCCAAGTGAACTCCCTCCTTCTGTTCGTATTTATCCTTCCCCCTTTTCTTTTCTTTTCTTTTTTTTTTTTTTTTTGTGGAGCACACAATGATTTTTAATGCCATGATTATGATCCTATGGCAATTTGTAACAAAATTTCTGCGGCTTCATTAGCGTCTGCTTTCTCCGAACAGGTTTCAGTCGCTGCCAAATTTTCAGGGGTGTTCCCAAGGCCACATTGTTAGAAGGAAAAAAAAAAAAAAAGAAAAGAAAAGAAAAGAAAAGAAGAAAAAAAAAGTCACGCACATGCAATCGGAGCGAGCGAATGCCGCGAATCTCACTCTTTGCCCCTTACTATCCCGACCTCACATGTTCAACCAATTGATGCCAAACAGGACACCACCGGAACGTGTCACGGTAAGGACTTCGACAGTCACCACGCAGAACCAAAACCAGCACGGAAAAAAATTTGCTAAGATGCTGAAGAGAGTCACCGTTGGCCGACAATGACTATGGGGTAAGTCGCAATTAGTTAACTCCGTAGCCATGCAACTTTTTTTTTGTTACAATCTCCCTGCTGTTGAATAAAGCCCTGAGTCTCTGCATCCATGTTGCCCAGCCACCCAGCCTCCTAATATTAGTGACATCCGGTATGGTCGATCACAATGAATGAAGAGTAGGGTAGTAAGACTCGGGAAAAATCCCCCAGGGTTGGAAATCTCACAAAGAAGGATTTAAGATGGGTAGAAAACGATGCCTGAGGGAATGTGAGAAGAGGAAAATTATCATTGCAGGAAAGGGAAAAACAATGGGTAGTGGGAAAAACTGCACGCAAGTAATTCCGCTCATCCGCCAAGGATAGACTAGTTGTGATATCTCAAAACAATCCCGCCCAACACCTCCCTTTTTATATATTATAGCTGTCCCTTATCTTCCAATTGACACCGGGAAATGGAAACTGGTCCAAAAAAAATGACTAAATGCCCAAATATCGCCACGGGAGCGCGGAAGAGAGTCCGAGTGGAGAGGGACTTGCGAGGGCTGGACCAGTCTCCGGCCATCTATATCGCTTCCTTAAGTTTTGGCCTTCCCACCAGAGCGGGGTCGATTCGGGACCAGGAGCGAATGGGCTGTCAATAATCGAGAGATGAGCGGAATGGGGGGGTCCGGATTGGAGGGAACTGGGGGGTCTTGGGAAAGTGAGGCCTGATGCGAGGGAAAAAAGGCTCCCGGGATGGTCCAATGCCCAATGAATGACTCGTACCCCCCCTCCTTAGACAGGTCGTGGCCCTCATGAAAGACTTCTCCGCCGGATGGAAGACTCTCCGGCGATGGCTATATAAAGTCTCATCTTTTCAACCGTCTTTCTTTCCTCTCCTTCTTCCTTTCTTTACTTTCCCAGCCCTACTCTTCCCACCACCTCACCGGTCTTGACAAGATTATTCCACTTTGACCCTACACCATTCGATGGAAGTCAGACATATTCCATACTCACATACTTCCTTCAAGTGAGGAGATTGCTTCTTCTGGCTACCCTTTAGCCTGGTCCATAAACCATTGTCGTCTTGCATACTCTGCCCGCTTCGACTCTTCGAGCAACACATCTTATCACGATGGCGACTCAGCATTATCAAGCTCCTCCCCTCCCTATCAATGTTCCCTCTAAGGCTCCCGCTCCTGTCAATCTGTATCCTATCAGCCGTGTTTCAGGATCGCCACCAGATGTATCTGACACCAGCACGACGGCGGGCAGTCGCACATCCGCCGGCTTCAGCTACGGCTCTGGGAGCATCAGCGGCGACTACGAGTCGAGTTCTGCATCATACTCTGGTGTTGATGTTGTCGATGTCTTGAGTGACCGCATGCAGAACGTGTTTGACCCTACGCCATTGGATAAAGGGTTGGCAAGACAGGCACAGGCGTGAGTAGTTCCCGATATCTTAACGAGCGGAGGCCGCTCGTGACTTTGCTTGTTAAGCAAGAGCAATGCTTCCCGAGACTGGAGAGTAGTATAGATGTGCTAATGGGTGAATGTAAACAGTTCCGGACAGCTGAATGCCAAACAACGTGAACTTCTTGAATTGCAAGCTCTCGCCCAGCGACGACTGCAAGGTGTACGTGCCAACTTCTCTGACGGCATCAAAGTAGCCCGGGAGACTAAAAGGGATCTGGAATGGACACAAAAGCGAGTGGGGTGAGTTCTGATGTCTTTCCCGCCTCATTGAGCCCGTGTATCCTGCTTTGATGGGACTCCGCTCCGCCGAGTGGATGTCCGCTCTCCGCTGGTGGTCATGTTCTTGGCAAAACTGGTGCCGGACTAGCAGTGGCGCGAGATGCTGCGAGGCTAAATGTGCGTTGCTAAGTTTGTTTGCAAAATACTGATGTGGCTTTCAAACTTAGTGCATTGAAGGCAAAAGCTGAGGCTGTGCATCCCGACGAATACCGAAGGGCGACGAAGAAGTATACTTATGACGATGATTACTGAACTCATTGCAGGGGCGGCTGCTCATGTTCACCTTTTGTTCACTTTCCTCTTCCTTCTTGGCTATTGGGGGATAATTTGTTTTAATGCGGTAACGGCTTTCCGCGAAAATTGAATCCAGAACTTGGGTCAGGTTTGTTTGCTTATTTCGTCATCGAGCTGTTTGGGATCAATGAGTTTTATGGGATGGTATATATGGGGTCTTTCTCACTTTCACAATGTTGTATATTTGGCGTCGTTTAACCGGTAGCGACATTATTTGATGGAATATACTCGGGATTTTCTTGAAATTTGAGTCGCTGTCGTTAACTCCACGGAGAACGATAGGGAGCCCGCTCCCTCGTCCGATCCACGTGCGCCTATCCAACCCCATGGAGATGGTCACATCACAAGATCACCCCCCAGCTCCGGTCATGTGAGTCAACCTGTGCGGGCGCCTGTAGGGGACTGGGGCACGGCCCCCTGGCACATTGCTGGTTGCATACCAGGGGTTCAAAGGCGGGAAGACGTACTCGCAAGGCGGCAACGGCTCATATGGATGACGGGTAGGGATTGGAGAAATGTCCTGACGAATTACTGACCTCAAATCCTTCCCTAGATGGTGTCTCGGTTGGCCTGTTGAGAGTCGGCAGGCTGCCTACCTCCCACTGTTCCGCCGACCCACTCCGCCAGCGGACATCCTGTCCGCCTTCGTCCGCTCCACCCTCCGTTTTAGTTCGGTTTCTCTTGCCGCTTTTGCGGGTCTGCGTGCAGCCTGAAGGAGCCAATGCCAGCGCTGGGTCTAGTACATCTCAAGGCTTTTGGGCAGCAACCCCCCTGCGCCACACGTGGAATGTATGCCCCTGGGGATTGGGCCGTTAATTTAAGCTCATCTGGATGCATAGATGTAACATGATCGTGCTGTAGCTTATCTGCACCCCTGCGGTAATCGGCGGGTAGTAGTTCGTTGTATACAACAACAAGAAAGGCTGGTGACTGGTACTTGGCAGGGGTTCAAACCTCGTGTTCCCCACTAGCCTGAAGAGGGTAGCACCTTCCCCATGTAAGAGAAAGGAACTCAATTGAGCCGGGTCCGTTGTGGAGTCACGGTTGGCTGGTGTGTGAGTGTGTGGATGTGTGGATGTGTGTTAAGAGCAAACCCATGCAGGTAGAATGTTTAGAGCACTGAAGAAGAGAAATAGGGTTCATACCTTAGCCGTCAGGCTCCAATCAAATCAGCGTCCGCAAAGACTGATCAAAGGATATCGTGCGTGCCCCTGACGAAGCACTCCGGGCAACTAGAACACGGATGTTGTCCATAGTAATGGAACAAAAAGGAAGAGGAGTAAATAGAGAAAGAGGGAGCTAATTACATAAGGATCTCTTACTTTGCTTTTAGTTTTTAGTGTGAGCAGTAATTCGCGAGCTTGCATCAACAGTGTTTCAGAGGGGCCAAAGGCTATGTTCCCATATTTGGATGTTAAAAGAAAGTCCATCACACTAGTTCCCCTCAGAAAACCAAAAGCGAAGTAAATTCTTAGGCTGGCAAAAATTTTTTTTTTTTTGGCGTTACTGGAGAATTTCAAGGTTTCCTTGCAAATATGTACAAGCAAGTGCATGCCCTATCTGCCCAACCACGCGTGCTCTACTGCTGATGATCGGTAATCTCCACAAGGAGGGTGCACTTCCCATTCCCAGGTAGCGACAATTGTTGCAAGAGTATGCCAGTCCAATCCTTGTATAAGTTACAGTCCTCAATATGATATCCCCACCGGCGTTGATGAAACTAGAGTAACTCGAGTAGCCCCCAACTAAGCAGGCACAGACACGATTGCATAGTAGAACCTGAGTCTGATGCTTCTATTTGCTTGAAACTATTCAGGCGCCGCGATGTGCAACAAGAAAAGAACCAACAGGAACGCGTGGCTGTAAGAGAAGGACTCACCAATAGCGCGTAGTGAATTCCATTTTCATAGATGGGAGACCCATCTAGGGATCCCCGATGAAGCAAGGCTGAAAGTAAGTCACACACTTCGACTCCGAATTTTCAATGCCATGTGATAATTTAGCTAGTTCGTGGTCGGAGAGATGAGTTCCGTTCGGGGTTATATACCCTTCTTGTTTAACAAGTTTCGAGCTCGGGGCCTGATGTTTTGCTAAGACGGGGGCATCAGTCTCAATGTTGTGATGCGCGTTTAGGTTCCCAGGCGCCCAATCCTCCATGAGACTGTGTTCCTGCTGGGAGAGTTGTTTCTTAAGGATGCGCTTGGGCGTGTAACGGGAAGACATGGCGACGATTCTGGTTTTCTTAAGCCTTGTCTCGTGAGATCTAGTCTTGCTTTATTTAGTCAGAAGATGATGTTGACTCGAGACGGGTTTAGAGTAAAAGAGAAGACTGTGTGGTTTGTTCGTTGGTTTGTGTGAGGTTTGAGCTTTAGATGATTGCGAGTGAATGTATGGAATACATTACACAGTAACACAAGGTAAGGGTCACATTATCTTAAGTACTTCGTTTTCTTGCCAATCTCGCCAAGTACAAATACCATTCTACTACTCATACAGGCACATACTTGGGTATCCAACAGCTAAAAGGACATCCGCTTTATCTGGAAATAAGCCGTGTGAGAGAAAGAGAGGGTCTTAATCGAAACTCCGCTCTTCCTCGATGGCCCTGTCGATGACACGTACGAACCGTTCAACCTTGTCAGCATCCTGCTTGGCTGTCTCAATGCCCAACAACACTTTCTTGACACCGACACCGATGACTTTCTCTTCAGGGGCCTTATCGGCCTGGTCGATACCCCCAATCGCTCCTAACACCTGGGCAATTTCCTGATCATCAAACGCCTCCGACTGTTTCATGATGTACTGCAGCTCGACACATGTCATGACATTCGGGACCATGATATCAGAATTAAATGAGTTGTACACATCCAGCTGCTTCAATACAGCCCTCTGGGTTGTGGTTGCCAGAACCAACAATCGTCGCTCCTTGGTCGGCTGCTTTCTCAAGAAGACCATTAATGTCTGCAAAACAGTATTGCTAAACCGAGGACCGATTGGGACCCAGTCGATAATTCTTTCAATGTTATCGACGACGACTACACTGGTACGGCTCTTGTAAGCGTCATCGAATATCTTGCTGATATATTGGACCTTGGCCATTTCGCTAAAGCCGACCATATCTTCAGGGCTGATCAGCTTGATAAAGGGGAAACCCGAATCAATGGCAATCCGGGCTGCGAGCGCAGTCTTTCCTGATGCGGTTGGACCATGTAACAAGACGGAGAACAAAGGTGTCGATTCCCCAACTTGCTTCACAAAGAGCTGACCCTCTCTTAGAATCTCGTTGATCTGATCGGAGTAATGGATAATGCCGTATTGAATACGGCTTGAGAGTTCCTCCTCTGACACACCAAACGCAGGTTTAACTTCATCAAGAGCATTGTGGAAGTCACCTCGGTTGACTTTCATGTTTACCACATCATCACTGATACCGGCCATCGTTCCAACCTTGACATGACGGGAAAAGGCGAATGAGGATGCGGATTTAACAAGACCTGCAATCTCGGCACCCGAAAAGTTTTTGGTCATCAATGCTAGCTCGGATAGATTAACGTCCACATCCATCACGTTGTTGTCTCTCATCTTCTGGGTATGAATCTTGAGAATCTGAGCTCGGCCCTTCTCATCCGGGAGTGAGATTTCCATATGGACCTCAAGACGACCAGGTCTCAATAGCGCGTCATCGATCATGTCCTTCCTGTTGGTCATACCAATAAGGAGAATGTTGTTAAGTTGGTCGACACCATCGAGCTTTGATAGCAGTTGGTTCACCACACTATCACCTACGCCTGTGCCACCGCCTGCTCCGCTACCACGCTGCTTACACACAGCATCAAGCTCATCAAAGATGATGATGTGAAGCCCACTTTCCTCGCCTTTCTCCTTGTACTCAGCCTCTGCATCTGCAAAAAGCTTTCGGATGTTTTCCTCTGACTGGCCGACATATTTATTCAGCACTTCAGGACCGTTGATGATCTTTGGTTCCCTTGCGTTTAACATCTTGCCAATTTGCCGCGCAATCAACGTTTTACCAGTTCCTGGAGGGCCATAGAGTAGCATACCCTTTACATGCTGAATACCTAGCTTCTCAACTAAGCCTGGAGGGAAAATGCGAGACGCAAATGCACGGCGGAAGATTGTGCTAAACTCTGAATCAAGACCTCCAATACCCATGTTCTCGAATTTAAAGTCAGGCTGGATAATAGAGTTGGCCGCTGGCCGCCGGTTCGACGCTTTCAGATTGATTCCAGTGCGGGCATCCTTGAAGAAGTTGATCTGAGAATGCCTTGTGAGTATTCCTCTGGCGCTGGGGTGGGTCTCGACATGACCGCTGGAGAGATCAGCTTTCTCGGAACTCAGATCGACACGTTGAACGGTTTTAACCGTTAGTATAAGAGGGATGCTTCTATGGTCCATTAAAATCTTCTGACCCGGAGCAAATATTTGGTTTTCAAAATTCTGTCTCAGTTAGCCTACCACAATTTAGTTCGAAATTACTGGGGAGCTACCTTGACCACAGCACTACCCAACTCGTCTTGGTCGTAAGGAGTTTCGACCCTTTTCTTTCCGGCGAAACCTATTTCAATGTCCGTGGAACCGATATAAGCCTGCCCGCCTTGGCTGAACGGATCGTAAATCTGGACGTTGACAGAGTCTGTGAATGCAACTCCAGCCCACGTCCGCTGAGGATCCGACATGCTGATGTGGCCCGGCGGGAAGCCATCATATGGGCGCGCGGAAAATACATAAAGATCGTTCACAAGAAGGAAAAGGTCGAGCCCGTCGCGCGTAGGCGGGAAATCCTGCGGCGAAACTGCAACTCTAAACCATGTCAACCATACGTCGCCCAAAACCTTTGGAGCTGAACTTACAAGTTACCAAACGTGTAAGTATTATCGGGGCTCTTCGCGGGGCGCAAGGTCCAGGTTCTCCCTGAGCTTCCTCCAACCGGGGCTCTCGGGGGCATTTGTGGCTGTTGACTAGGCCTTCCCATCGGTGCTCCATATCCCCTTGAAATATTATAAGCGTCAGTCATTAAAGTGTCATAGTCGGGCGGATGAGGGCGGTATTCATACCCTACACCACCCGTAGGCGCAGGGTTAGTGTTGTAATCTCTTCGTGGATATGGAGGAGGTCCCTGGCCCGGGTTGGGGCTTGAATGGCCGTCTTCGCGAGGGGGCCGGGAGCCGAAAGGCATAGAGAAGTTGTTGCGGTTAAACATCTTGCTTCATATGATCGTGAATAGACCAGTAGAAGACCAAAGCGCGTATGACGGTATGTGATGACCGTCAGATAGTCAAATATTATGATGAAGTGAAGCTCTTATTAGCACACAGGTCAACGCTGCCGGCAGCTTTCACGTCAAAAGGCGGCAAAAAATATTAATCTGGTCACCAGAGTATATAGGTACTAGGCCGCGAGTACTTCAATTAAAATAATTAGCAGAGATAATAGTGGGATGTAGAGAAGTGGCGGCGGGGACAAAAGCATGGGGACAGGCTGGACTCTATCATAGAGGCTGAGCTCCGTACCTCCTTGGTTCTCATTGGCCCTATCGGCCCGCCAACCTCCGTTTCTGCCGATGGTTGCTCTCCGCCTTCCTTATCGCTGTTTTGCAATCAACAACGGGCTTCTCACATGCTACTAGGGTTTAGTAGCAAGGAGTATTCTATTCATTTCACCCAAAATGCCTCTGTCAGTATTATCCATACTCTTTTTGCTCTCTTGTACTAACTACCTCAGTCATCTACTAGGTAAGAAGTCATGGAACGTCTACAACCCGGAGAATATTGCCCGCGTGCGTCGCGATGAGGCACAGGCGCAGGCCCGAGAAGAGGAACAGGAGCGTCGTATGCAAGAAGTTGATGCCGAACGAAGAATACAAATCCTCCGGGGCGAACGACCATCGACCCCACCACCTCCCCCACGATCTCCGTCGCCGATCTCCCGACATGATAGGAAGAGTTATGCAGAGGACACTGGAAGGTCTAGAAAGAGAAGACGTTTAGTCGGCGAAAATGATACGGACCGCGATATTCGATTTGCCCGAGAGGATGCACAGATTGCGCTGGCGAAACGAGAAGAACTTGCTCCCGCTCGATCTAGCGATGCGCCACTTTACGATAGTGCTGGTCATATTGACCTGTTCCCTTCCCAACCGTCACATGGGCGTACGGAGAAGAACCCAGAAGCCGAAAAAGAATCGGCCGAGAGACAAAAGGCATATGAAGATCAATACACAATGCGGTTCTCGAATGCGGCAGGGTTCCGTCAATCTGTCGGCCAGAAACCCTGGTATTCATCTTCAGGAACTGAAGCCATGGCTCCAGACTCTATTTCCGGGAAAGATGTCTGGGGGAATGAGGATCCTATGAGAAGAGAAAGGGAAAAGGCTCGGATCGATGCCAACGATCCACTTGCGGCGATGAAGAAAGGTGTTCGCCAGCTAAAGTCGGTTGAGCAAGAAAGAAACAAATGGGACGAAGAAAGGAGACGAGAATTGGAAGCCTCGGAATTAAGAGAGAAACATCGGTCGCGCCATCGCAGGCGAAGGTCAAAGTCGGCAGATAGTCTTGAAAATTTCCAGCTCGATGCTTCACGGGACGAAGATCGAAGAGCAAATCGTCATCATCGCCATGGACGTGACACAAGCGGAGATCGCTCGCGTAAGAAAAACTCTCATTCGGATGGATATTCACATCGTCGCTACCATCATCATCGCTACCATCATCGTCGTCATCATCCAGATCGCAGCCGTAGTCGGAGTGACCATAATAGTCGCTCGCGTCGAGAAACATACGACACAGGGCACAGATGAAGATTCAGATTTGAGGTTTTCCTCTTTTTTTTTTTTTTTTTTTCGACCATTATTTGGTTATTGCTTTCTACAGTTGTGATACCCGCCAGATGTCATATGAATGGCTGGATTACGTTTCTAACAGCTATCTATCAAACGAGACTTTCTATATGCCGTATAGTAGCAGAAAGAACGAGTTAGGCCAAAAGGCAAGCAAAACTTTTTGGTCAAAGCCCCTCACTGCAAACTCCATTCCTGAGCGCCCTTTGCGCCCTCTTGAACATTCCATTCGATTGAGATGTCCAGAGACCGTGATTCCTTTGATTTCTTTTGGTAGCCAACTTTTCCTGTAATCGTCTGACCTTTCTTCAAAGGAAGGGCCTCCTTCTTCCCGTGGTCGATGAGGAGGACACCTTGTTGCCAATGAGTTTCTGGGCCATCAGGGCCGGTAGTGAAAGCAACGAAGCCCTTCTTCTGCATCTCCGAAGGGATGGCATTGTCCGAAATAGGGGAATCCCTGGACGGCATAAAGAATATGTCAAACCAGATAGCCCAGCCATCAAGCGAGTCAATGTCCTCCTTCAAGGTAACCTGGAACTCCTTCAAGAAAGACAGTTCATCGATAGTGATTGTATGCAGTGGGAGTGGTAAGAAGACGGAAGAGTCTCCGGGAATAGTTGATGGTTGCACGCTACGGACAAGCGCTTCATCGTAGATACCCGTGAGCATGCTCCGCATGTTGAAACCGTAGACATCATTCCAAAAGGAGATATGGGAAGCAATGAAGTCAGGGTCGGCAAAGGGAGCAACACGCAGTGTAGCATGCGACGGAACCATCAATCCTCCGGGTGCCAGATAACGATCCCTGGCATAGATGACGGAATCAAACATGGCTTCAAACAGAAGACAATAACCCATCCATTCGGATACGATGATATCGACCTGCGGAACGGGCAAAGTGACTTCTTCAATCTTGCCACGGATGCACCTGAAAGCCAAAGCGTTAGTACCAAGGTGTTAGCGAGCGAGTAATACAAGTACGTACGTAATCACATCCCCAAAGCCATTCTCGTGAATGATCTCCTTTGCCCTATCGATGATGTTCGAGTTGTCCACCGAAATGACTTTCCGGGCACCTGCTTTGGCGCAGAACATTGACAAGATTCCCGTGCCGCACCCAACGTCCAGAACAACCTTGTCCTTGAACAAATGCTTGTTCTGATAAATAAAGTCGCGGTAACCATCGGTACGAATAGCGTCTTTCAGCATAGATTCGTGAATGCCTTTGAGAAAAGTATCCTGTCAGCAAACGTATCGATTGGATATTTGCACATTAGATTAGGGCCAGCATACCATTGTAAGAATAGGATGAGAAGTAGTCTGAATCAATTGCTTCAGCCTTGCTAGCAGATCGTTGGGTCGAGGAAGCAGACGAAGCAAGATTTTCATCCTCCTTTGACAACTGCTCTTCCAACGACTTCTGGACGGCAATCCTATACTCAGAGAACTGACTCTGCAGACGTTCCAAGTCTTCTTGAAGTTCAGTTACGCGTCTCTCTGCTTCAGTACCACTGGGAACCTCCGAGTCTTGATCTTCGATGTCGTCCAAGCTATACAGGAGAGCATCATCCTCGAGCACGGGCTTCAGATAGACCTCGTCTTCGAAGTTGGATTTGGAAGACACGTCAGGAGACAGATTTCCAGCTTTGACTTGAGAGCGAATGTAATTCACCAACTTGATAGTACCCAGGAAATCCAGATCTGAAAGCGCAAGGCAACGAAAGAAAAAGGAGGAAAGGTTAGCCCATAAATCATATTGTGATCGTTCAAACATAGATCAACCGGGCCTGAGCAGCGGAAGAAATACTCAAACGGTATAAACCAATTCAATCGATTAGGTACACACCGAGCTCTTTTTGTGTCCTTCGCAGGTCGAAGTTGTACTTGTCTTTGGTCTCCTGTAGCATAGAAAGAACATCGGGATAGACTTTCTCAGAGAACAGGCCAACCACTGGCTGGGTCTCATCATCGGGCTCAACGTCCTCCCATCCTTCCTCATTGCTGATGTCCGAGTCCTCAGAATGTGTAGAGCAGGAGTCATCATCCTTTAGGGGACGGTCAGAGGGAATCGAAGCCGACATGGCGATAATTGCGGGGTAGGCAGACAGATGAATTGACGAGAATTATAAAAACCACAAAGTTCAATTGAGGCAATATAACGACAATTTCTAATTGTTTATTGAATACTGTGAAAACAACAATTAAAACTGCTGCTGAAGAGTAGAGAGTTTCAGAAAAAGGACGTGAGTTTGTAAGAGGAAACCCAGGACCCCTCTTTACCCAAAAAAAAAAAAAAAAAAAAGCACATCGGTTGCCCCGCCCGGAGAGTTTGGTACTTTGTTTATCCACATGACCGAGGGCCCAGAACTGCGATAAGCGCCTGAGGCTTTCAGCTCCCCCGCCAACAGTATCACCTATCACCGCCTTGCTGCCTTTCTCCTCCGTAAACACAAGAAATCCGTCATCGACAACAAAAGACCTTCCGACCTTTTGAGATTTAGACCTGATTAGGAGGACCCTCAATTCTGTTGTCTCACCTTTCTTGCATGCGCCAGTTGGTTGCTATCCTGCACTTTCATCCAGAGAGCTAGCCCCTCTGCTCTAAGAATGGCTTTCTTCTTCAACCGTGGCCGATCCCGACATCCTTCTGATATTGTCCGATCAATCAAGGATCAGTTGGTGAGGCTGCGTGAAGCTCCTCCCACTGTTGCTAAGGTTGGCTAATTATCATTCTATTCTACTCATTGTGTTCATCTTTAGTAGATTATGGACATGACCCTAAATTCACTGACGCTCAATACCGAATAGGTGGAAGATGAGCTGGCTAAACAACTTAGCCAGATGAAATTGATTGTTCAAGGAACTCAAGGTAAGTTTCTCGGCGAGCGCAGCAAGAATAGCCTCGAAGAAGGTTAGGACTCGCTAATTAAAGCTGCCGACAGAAATCGAAGTGTCTCCCGAACAAGTGCACGCCTTGGTTCAGGCTACTCTCCATGAAGATTTGCTATACGAACTTGCGAGAAGCCTCTATATTCTACCCTTTGAAGCCCGAAAGGATACCCAGACCATATTTTCGCATATTCTTCGTTTCAAGCCCGGTAATCCAAGCCAAGCCGATCCGCCGGTTATTTCCTATATTGTCCACAACCGACCAGAAGTCATTATCGAACTATGCAAAGGCTATGAACACAGTCAAAGCGCAATGCCGTGCGGTACGATCTTGAGGGAAGCATTGAAATTCGACGTCATTGCGGCGATCATCCTATATGACCAGTCAGAGGATGGGGAGCGGGCCATCAGACTGAGCGAAGTCCAGCCCGGTGTTCCACAAACCGGGAACGGGATTTTTTGGAATTTTTTCCACTGGATAGATAGAGGGACTTTCGAGTTAAGCGCGGATGCTTTCACAACCTTCAGAGTAAGTCGCCCTTTTCTCAATGTCTACTCTGGTGGCAGTGGGGTAACAATCACTACAGGAAATTTTGACTCGACACAAATCCTTAGTAACAGGGTATTTGGCAACAAATTTTGACAGATTCTTCGATAAATTCAACAGTGTACTGGTTCAGTCTGACTCATACGTCACCAAACGACA